AGGCAGAGAGGCAGGCAGAGAGAGACGGGGGAAGCAGCCCGTTGCGGGGCACGATCCCAGGACCCTGAGATCATGACCCGAGCCGAAAGCAGAGGCTTTAAACCACTGAGTCACCCAGGCGTCCTGATTCTTAGGACTTCTTAAATCTACAAGGAATCTGGAAATCTATCATTGTAGTGTTTTTGCTCCAAGAACTTACTGTCCTGTAATTGCGTGGCATGACGATGTGGAGAAGAGTGTCGTCGAGGCTTTACTGTTTCAGATCTCCGTCTTAGAACTGAACTTAACTTGGGCCTTGGGTTGTTTGGGTTTATATGGAGCAACGTAAGAAAGAAAAGCATTCCAGGAGAGAAGAGTCATGAGCCGGAGTGGGATTGGTAGCGAGGTGCTGTGCCTGGGAGGTCTGGGAGTAGATCAGGTGGGTAGAGGCAGATACTGGGCTGAGCAGTTGGGTAGGACGGACCAGGGCGGGAGCAGCACAGAGGGTGTGGTAGCAAGTGAGGGAATTGCTCATTTTCCCATCGCACACGTGTATCTGTGGGGCTACTTCTGGGCACCATAGTTTTCTAGTTCCCACCGGTGCACGGGGTGTGCTGCATTGTGCTTTAATGTGGAGTTGGGAGCTCAGAGGACCGGAGAAGAGTCTCAGGCAGGGGTGCGGCCGGTCCTGATCACCGTCTCCAGGTGAGCACGTTTCACCCGAGATACTAACTTCGGCCAGCACCATATTCCCCCGTTGCTTCGTTTGTGTCTGTACTGCATGGGGTCCGAATCTCCAGGGATGGTTCTTTGAGAATCTGATGAAAGCTCTGAATACTCTTCCCAGGAAATAATTGCACAGACACAAAATTTGGCCTGTTGTGAATGTCTGAAGACATTTGTGTGACTTACATGGAACAATTTGGACGATGTCATCTTAGCAACTATAGAGTTCCAAATAAGCCTTCAGTGTGCCTAAGCTCTAATAGCATAAGTCCCATAGTATCCAAAAATCTATTTTTACCAATAAATAGTTCTTTTCTCTTGAGCATTTTTATCATTTCTTAGTATTTGATGGAATGAATTTGTTTTCCGAGCTTTAATCACTGGTGGATGTATGGCCAGCTGGAATCGCTTCTCTGTTAACATTTTGCAACCTTTGATGTTAATTTATTTGTCCCTCCAACTGTTCTATATATCAGTGTAGCTAGGAAAATGAAGTTCGCTCTGGTAACACTCTTGAGTATTTGTTGAGTTGAATTGAAATGACTGAGGAGTTGCCTTTCCCACAAGCACACTGTAACCGAGCAAGAGAACTCCCAGTTAAAGAGACACTCCAGACAGACAGAGTCTAATCTTCTAATGAACCGCTGCCTTCTGGGGTCATTGGCAAGAGGGATTTTTCCGTCTGCAAGGAATAAAGTTACACTTTCACACAGTCACTCCATGGTTGAGCTCCTATTAAGACAGATTCCAAGGGACGGTACTTAGATTAGAATTTCATTGTATTGAATATAGCTTCAAGTAAAGTGGTTTGTGGCTGAGATTTGTAATGTGTCTTTGTTTGCCGACTCACTGAGTAGCTGCCACGTACCAGACAGTGACTTCAGTTTGAAGTAGGCTGTGACCTATGTTCTTAGTCCTGAGAGATTACTTTTTAGCCATTCATTATGAATGACTAAATTTCGAAAAGTGGAAGATGGAGTTTAACTAAATGCCAACTTCTAAAAATGTCAGAATAATCGGATTTCAACCAGTTTTGTTGTATGGCATCTTAACTAGCATGTTCTGTCTTAATTGACCCTACTGCAGTTTCTCGGATTTCCAAGTACTTCATTGATCTTAGTAGAAAAGGACAATAGGAAGTGTTTCTAGTCAGTATCGACAGCCTATAATAGAGGAAGTATGGTGGCCCTGATGGCACCAACCCCTTCCTTGAAATTGTCAATAATATTAACATCATTTATATTTTAAAAAGATGACGTCGCTTCAGAATGTAAAACTTAAGACTCCATTTGTCAGTGAAAAGAGCATGAGGTACTGTGTGAAGACTGTTCTTCAGGCTGCATTTAGTATGTGGTGGTGAGGAAGCGGAGACAGGTGAGGTGGTCACAAGCCCTGGTGAAGGGACAGACTCTTCTGTCTGTAAGATGCCATACACAAGGCATCTTGACTTTGGGTAAAGAGTCCAAGGCTGTAGGATATTTGAGACAAAAGCCAATATTGGGATATTAAAATTACGATATAAAGTGAAACTTTAAAACAAGTTTGAAGGGGCGCCTGGGTGGCTCAGTTGGTTAAGCATCTGCCCTCAGCTCTGGTGATGATCCCGGGGTCCTGGGATGGAGCCTTGTGTCGGGCTCCCTGCTCAGCGGGGAGCCTGCCTCTCCCTCTCCCTCGCTCCCGCCCCCGCTTGTGCGTGTTCTCTCCCTCTCTCTCAAATGCTTTTATAAATAAATAAAACAAGTTTGAAGAGAAATTGCAAGAAACAGTGACAAACTACCTAACTCAGTGTGAAAGCAAGTCTGTTGTGACAAAAAGCAAAGCCTGGGTGGCTCAGTTGGTGAAGTGACTGCCTTCAGCTTGGGTCATGATCCTGGAGCCCCCCGGGATTGAGTCCCATATCGGGCTCCCTGCTCAGTGGGGAGCCTGCTTCTCCCTCTGACCCTGCCCCCTCTCATGCTCGCTCTCCCTCTCTTTCTCTCAAATAAATAAATAAAATCTTTAAAAAGGCAAAGTTAGAGTACTTTTTCTTTTTGAAAAAAAAAAAATGTGTACATTTTGCAGAATCTTGAGTGTTGCATTTTGCTAGGGAAAGAGAATAAATTGGATGCAGTGGCTGATTTCACTCCCTTTTAAGTAGCTCCTCTGTGTTTGAGGGTAATCTCTCCAAGGGTAATCGAAGATTTTAATCAGGTAATTGTTTAATGAGGCTGAGGAGCATAATGCTGGAGCTCAGTCATGCAAAATTTAGTATTTCTAGTTTTGCTCACAGCTGTGCTGCTGGTTATAAGTTACTGTATCTAACGCATGCATGCACGCGCGCACAAACACACGCGCGCGCGCGTGCGCGCGCGTGCCAATGTTGTAGAGAGTGCACTCTTCTCCCTGGTCAGGCTGGGACCCTCATGGAGATGTTGCTGCCACACACTGGGTGAAGGGCCTTTGGGTGGAAGATGGGGCTCTGTTCATGCTCTGACCCCTGCCCCTCTCTCACTGGGGTCCCAGCAGGCGCTCTGCCTTCATACTGCCCTCCCTTGGCCTGTGTGCTCACTTGTCTACCTGCAGCACCACCTCGTCTCTCTGGGCCTGATCCCTCTTCCCCAGACGTCTAAAGTGTTCCTGTGTGTTCTTTGATGTCTTGTTCACACCCATGCATTGATCATGCCCGATTTTACAGCTTGCCTCTGGTCCTCTGTTAATCATTCTTTCTGCAACCTTCTCTGTTCCATTGACTGGGTGGTTTCTGTCTCCTAATTGGACCCTCACCAGTGCCAACGTCCTCTGCCTGCAATGCCAGGCTGCACTTGCCCGTCGTGTGCATGCACAAAGTGTCCCACGGCCAGCCCAGGCGAAGCTTCACTCGTTCATTCCACCAGCATCGGAGTTCTGTGCCCAGTACGCACTGGGCCCAACTCCGGCATTAAGAAAGACTGGGCTTCAGCTCAGCAGGGGCTCCGAGACTGGGAGAAGAGGAGAATAAGTCGTCAAGTAGGTTAAAGTGGAGAGGTAGGAGTGTGTGTGTCTGTGTGTCTGTGTCTATGTCTGGTATTGCTGGGAATAGCGTATGACAAAAACTTGGGAACAAAAAACTTCAAACGTGAGTGTGTACCTCTGGAAGCTAAAAGGATAAATAAATGGAAATGCAAACATTGATAAATATTTACTGTTTTCAGTGTAAGTGATGTCCATAATTTTGTTCTTTTCCATTTGTGAATGTTCTTTCTCTTCGCACAAAGCACTTGAGGTGGGTAAGGTTTTCATTTATCTCATCTCTGAATGCCTAAGGGCAGGGACTGTCCTTGCTCTTAATTACCTTGTACCCACAGTGCCTGCCATCTAGTAGGTGCCTAGTAAATGGTAGTTGACTGAAGATAGGCTGATTATACTGAGTTCATACTCCCCGGTTGGTTTTTTACTCCAGAATCAGTCGGTGTTTTCTTATGTTGCCAGTTCATGAGCCATTCCAGGCACTTGTTTTTGTACTTGAGATGTGAACAGGAAGGTTGTCAGTCAGCACAAGTGCTTGTTCTCTTTTGTTCCTCTTCAGCCATGTATGGATGGTATCCCCCATCTCAGGTGTGCGCCAAGCAGTGTTAACTACTCTGTAGACCTCCAAATCTCTGGCATCCCTGTATTACAGGTGTAGAAATGGAGGTGAAGTAAATTACTCGAGGCTCTGCTGAGAAAATGTGGCCGATCTCCCCATGAGTGGTTCCCATGTCAGTCAGGTGCCCACCCTTTTTGTGTGCACATGTAGACATCACCCAGAAGCCTTTTTCCTCTCAAAAGACAGTTGCTTCCTTTCTAGTCCTAGAGACACAGCCCTTTGGTCCTCCAGGTACTTTGACATCCAGGCTCATGTGAACAGGGTTAGAAAACCTAGAAAGGGCCAGAAGTCTCTTCCCACTTTCTCCTATAAGAAGTCGTCTTGGGGCACCTGACTGGCTCAGTCGGTTAAATGTCTGCCTTCAGCTCAGGTCGTGATCCCAGGGTTCTGGGAGGAATTCCGCATCGGACTTCCTGCTCAGTGGAGCGCCTGCTTCACACCATCTCTTCCCTTGCCCCTCCTCCCTGCTCGTTTTCTGTCTTTTCTTGCAAATAAATAAATAAAATCTTTTTAAAAAGGGTGGGGGGGAGAAAACGTCTCCTGGAAGTGTGGCCACTTGCTGGCGAGTTGAAATTTGGCACAGGTGATGACCAGCATTGCGTTCCGTGAGAGACCCGTTGCTGTGAGCGCTCAGGGGAAAGGTGGTGCACTAGTGCGCACTAACCTGGGTGTCCGCTGTGTGTCTTCTCAGGTGCTGTTACCGCCGTGCGATGACGCTGCTGTGAATGGGGCTGCCAAGGAGCCGCCGCCCCCTTACGTCTCTGCCTGAGCCAGCGAGTGGGGCGGGACTGAGCACAGCGACTTCAGTTCCAGACGTCGGAGCAATAGGGGATGAGCTCTCTGAGCTTCGTTGTTGCTGAAATGCTCCAGTTTTAAAATGTAGACGTTAAGTGAAACCCTCCTTAGTTTTAAGCATAAGCTGTGGCTAGAGCACGGTGATGGACTCAGTGTAGAGTCCTCTGGAGGCGGGCGCGCTGGGCTTCTGTTGTCTCCCTGGGGTTCCCTTCCCAGCAGTCCGGATGAGCCCGCGTCAGAGGCGGGGAATTCATCATCACACCTTCCCTTTGTGTTCCTCTGTTTTGAGAGTGTAAAATAAAATGAGAATTAGATGATGCTTTTCTTAAGCCATTCCAGTGTTGGAGCAAACCCTTCACACCTTACAGAGCACGAGTGTCCGTTGTGTGATTATTGCTCTAATGACAGATGTAGGTGTCCCTGTCTATATAAATAAAACGAGAATTTCCTTAAGATTCTTTATGACTTAAATTCAATGACAGTTTTGTATTTGCTGTTCAAGGATTCTGTCTGCGGGCGAAATTGAGACCTTTGAACAATTCCAGGCAGTGACCACGGCCTGCCTCTGACGGCTGGTGTTGAACACCCACGTCTGGGGTCACGGATGGGCGGGTCTCACCTGTGTCACCGGTGTGGAACGGATGTGTTTAGTACCGCTTGGTGCTCCCTTTCTGCTGGTTTTCCATGCCCACCCTAGTCACTAAGGATTTGCCTAACAGTATGAAAAAAGATTTTCTTCTAATCTCCTTGCAAGGTACAGCATGCTATTTTGAAATTCCGAGTATGCCCAGTCATCTGTTCAAATGTAAAACGGTCTTTAGAGAAATGAGGAGGGGTGCTTTTCTTGTGGAATGTTCTTATCGCGACTACCGAATTTCAAGGAACTTTTATATATTCATATGTGCAAAAGTCACAGCTCTCCTGTTTTTCATTGTTGTATTCATTGTTGAGTGTGCTGTAAATGATGGCTTTGCAATTAAAGTGAGATTTGCCCACATCTGAGAAAGTAACCTTTTGATTTTGTGGTGATCGTGCTTAGGGACCTTTCCCACTCACAGGTGGCCATGCAGACACAGTTTGGCCCAAGGAAGCACCTTTACAACTTGTTTCTCCCTCCCTCTCCCCCCCCACCCCCCCACCGCCCCCACACGTGCGTGTGTGTGTGTGTGTGTGCGCGCGCGCGATTTTTTTACCCCCTGTTTCATTGCTGATAAAATCAGAGCATCTCAGGCCAAGAGAAATGGAGCCCAACAGACCTGAGCTGCTAACGCTTCTAAACCCCACCCCTGCCAAGCTCAGTGTGCTCAGCTGTTTCGCATACGGTTGCTTTATGTCCATGATGTACTTTCAATAAGCAGTTCAGACTTTACTCCATTCCAAGAGAGATTAAATAGAGGAGGTAGGAGGGGGAATTTTTATCCCTGAGACTCCGCCTCGGTGATTTCTTTTGGTGTATCTCCGTTATAAACTAAACCTAAGAAATTCTCTTCTGGAAGCTTTGTGCCCATAAGATTCACAATAAGTTAATCATATTAAGAGCTGTTAGGAATGGAAAAGGCCTCTCGGACGGTTTCCCTGATCTCTGGAAGGCTCATAGGACATCACAGTTGCTTGCTTGGACCTCCCTGTGATTTTCCAGCCCTTTGCCTGATAATTTTTGTGTTACATAAAATGGCACATGGTTAAGTAGAAGTGTTGATTTTGAGTCTGGGGGCTGTCCTCTGAGGGAATATTGTTCGTGTTATGTTCAGACCACATCAGACCACATCACAGACACCAGGATATTTCGTCACTCTCAGGTGTCCCATCTGGAACTGACGAAGCAGCCTTTCCTGACCCACAGCATAACCCAGGCTATGCGGGAAAGCCACATCTGTAGTTCCTCTGAGTGACGACCTGTTCTCTCAGCTCCCCTGTGGGGAGGTGGTGATGTTTGGAGCCCATTCCGTGACTCAGCAGTTCACTCTGTCATTCACTCATTGCCAATCCGGTTAAATACTTCTCTTAAAAGTATTTTACTATTTTTTTTAAAGATTTTATTTATTTTTTGACAGCACAAGTAGGCAAAGCGGCAGGCAGAGGGAGAGGGAAAAGCAGGCTCCCTGTGGAGGAGGGAGCCCGATGTGGGGCTTGATCCCAGAACTCTGGGATCGTGACCTGAGCCTAAGGCAGACGCTTAACCGACTGAACCACCCAGGTGCCCCTCTTAAATGTGTTTTATTTAATTTTTTTTTAAGATTTTATTTATTTGACAGATCACAAGTAGGCAGAGAGGAGGAAGCAGGCTCCCTGCTGAGCAGAGAGCCCGATGCCGGGCTCGATCCCAGGACCCCAAGATCATGACCTGAGCGGAAGGCAGAGGCTTAAACCCACTGAGCCACCCAGGCGCCCCTTAAACGTATTTTAAATCCAACTTTAATATCTGATCCTCTTTGTTTGCTGTCTACAGTCATTCCCTCATTTGTCCCCATGTCGGTATGCCTCTCAGTCACTCTGCTGATGAGAGCCCCTTAGCCTTTTTCATCTTGACCGTCCTCTGGAGATCCTTATGACTAGATCCTGGATGTTCAGCCCGGCGCCCAAAGGTGTGCAAGTGGACCCACCAAGAGACAGCCCATGTGGGAGATTTTGGGTCTGTTCTCTGGGCCAGAGAGAACAGGAAGCAGACACCTTTTGCCCGAGATGTGATCTGTCACCCTAGGAACCGAGCTTCCATTGAACAAGCTGGACAGATTTCCAGAATGCCCAGTCATATGGAAGAGGTTTTTTTTTTGTTTTGTTTTTAAAGATTTTATTTATTTATTTGACAGATCACAAGTAGACGGGAGAGGCAGGCAGAGAGAGAGAGAGAGAAGCAGGCTCCCTGCTGAGCAGAGAGCCCGATGGGGGACTCGATCCCAGGACCCTGAGATCATGACCTGAGCCGAAGGCAGCGGCTTAACCCACTGAGCTACCCAGGCGCCCCTGGAAGAGTTTTAAGACCAACAGACCCACCCACCCCTTCCTGTACCTTCTTCCAACACAAAACCTCATGGCAGGATCTCCCCCAAGTCGGTCTCCTCGTCCCTTCCCCCTGCCCCCTGCCCAGGTCTTAACTGCCCCCTGAGAATGCAAGGAAACTTCCCTCTCCTTTTTGCCCCACCTTTTTTTTTTTTTTTTAAATTACTTCATCTGTTCTGGCCCTAAATACTTGTTTAGTTTGATGCTGACCCAAACCACACCTCATTTTATGTGTCTTTTCACTCTCAGTTCGTTCATCAACAATACTTCTTAGCAATGATATCACTAGACCATCTGTATAGACACTGTCACCATTAGAGTTGTTTTCTCCATGGAGCAATGTATTGTCTTTGAAATATTCATCCTTGGAGAATAAAACCCTGCTGTGCAAACTGAGCATTTGTGATCAAGGAAAACTAATGAGACTCTGAAAATAGTTCCATTTCTTGAAAAACATGTGAAGCTTTCACAACCCATCTAGAAACTGACAAATATCATTAAATAATATTGCTGCTTATTATGTAGGCAATTACTAATGATCTGAAGGGGAAAGGGCAGGTATCTTTGCCAGACTATCAAAAGAGCTGCACAGGGGCGCCTGGGTGGCTCAGTGGGTTAAGCCACTGCCTTCGGCTCGGGTCATGATCTTGGAGTCCTGGGATCGAGCCCCGCATCGGGCTCTCTGCTCAGTGGGAAGCCTGCTTCCTCCTCTCTCTCTGCCTGCCTCTCTGCCTACTTGTGATCTCTCTGTCAAATAAATAAATAAAATCTTTTAAAAAAAAAAAAAAAAGCTGCACAAAGGGACTGCCAGCATCAAATACGGGCTCAGCCCTCCCCGGGCTGCCACCTTCAGACCTAACATGTATCAAACACAGAGCCAGAGCTTTAGAGCCTGTAAAATGGGTTTTTTTGGCAGCTCGAAGTGGAAGGGAAGGAAAAGGGCTTTGCAAGGATGTCTCCACACCCATGGAATTCACTTAAAAGTGTCTCTGCACACTAGCCAAGTTTTCTGCCAAGTGAGTATGGAAGCCAACCAGATCGGTGACCTTCCCAGAAGCCCAGGCACGCCTTTTGCTGACTGTAGCACCCAGACAACAGAAGAGGGAAGCTGTCATTGGCCAACCTAGAAAAAAATCACATCAAGGCAGCAGTCTTAGCACTCTCCCCTCATCAATGTGATCCTCATTAGCAAGAGCAGTTGCTGCTCCAGAATCAGGGGTTGGACTTAAAACAGAGTAATGGACTCGGGCTTGTTTGTTTTAGCCCAGGTCAAACTTAACACATACTTTTTAAAAAGTCATTTACAGTACACACACAGTTTTTATTAAGTGAGCGTATTAAGATGGGAACGTCTTTGGCTCAGCAAATAAAATTATAACCTCTCTTCCTCGGTGTATGTCAAGACACCCGGGGTCTGTTGCTCCAACAGAGCAAAGCGAGTTTGGAAGAGCACTGGGTGAGCCCAGTGGACTGGGCATGGCTGGCCAGCGTGGAGGCTTTGAGACACACTTCTTCCAGGAAAGGCCCAGACTGGATGGGTCTTCATCTTGTCTGCCCCTTACTAGTCCCACATGTGGTGTGGTGGCATCTCAGCAACCCCTGTGCCTACTCAACTTGGAAAGTCCCAAGTTCCCTGATTGCTGGAATCCTAGATAGGGGACATCTAACCTGAAGAGCCCATAATGCTTCCACCTGTGGCCTCCACCCACAGGAGGCCCCAGCTGTGGTAAGACAAGGGAACAAATGGATTTGCTCTCCGTGCCACCAGTCCCAGCACAAAGGACTCTGTGCTTTGTGTGGTGGCCTGTGTGAGATGTGGCTTTTCACCCAGTATTCATTTTAGCCAAAGGAATGTATTTGTAATTATTCTTCGTCACTGTTTTACTTTCATTGGATGTTTCTTTAGTTCTTCTAAATTAAGTCCTTTTATTTATTTATTTTTAAGATTTTATTTATTTGACAGAGACCGTGAGAGAGGGAAGTGGGAGAGGGAGAAGCAGGCTTACCGCCTAACAGGGAGCCCAACATGGGGCTCGATCCCAGGACTCTGGGATCATGACCTGAGCTGAAGACAGATGCTTAATGACTGAACCACCCAGGCACCCCAAATTAAGTCCTTTTAAAATTAACATCTTTCCTACACAGAGCTCCCTTCAATAAATAATAGGCTCCGCTCTAGCCCTGCTTTAGTCCTGCTCTCTGTCTTCCCTATCTCGGTGGCTTACTGACCTGTCCTATTCACTGTGCCCCAAATAGAAGATTGGCCTCTCTGGCCTCAAATCTGTTCCTGTTGACTTGTGTTTCAGCTGGTGACCTCCCAATCATCCCAGTCATCCATCCAGTCATGCCACTTGGAGATAAATCATTGGTCCTCTGTCTTGTTCTTCTTTTTCCCTTTCCCCATATCTGATCAGTCTCCAGCCCCGTGGCTTCCACTTTTAGGTCAGGTGAAACCACGTTTACCACTTACTGAGCCCCTCCAGTGTGCCTTCCGTTCTGCTGAGCACTGCACATGTACGAACTTAATCTGCATTGTACAGACGAGGGAAGGAGACTTCTAAAGGAAGGAAACTGGTCCAAAGTCACACCAGTTATTGGCAGAGCCAGGGTTTAAATGCCAATTAAGGCCATGTGAGTGGGTGTTGGTATTTAAGACATCTAGAATCCCAGAATCCTGTACATGCCTCTTACTTCTTACTAACAACGGCTGACTTCCACTTATTAAAATGAATGCATTCCAAGAAAAAAAGAAAAAAAAAGAAAAGAAAAAGAAAAAAAGAAAGAATTGATTCAGGCAGGAAGAAAGATCAGATATGGTGGACCTTTCAGAGTGGTTCATCATTTTAAGTGAGCAATTGTTTTTGAGGAAATTAGGCACCATTTTAAAACTGCACTGATTTATCTTTGTTGAGGAAAATAACATAAGATTTCAGGAAGGGGCACCTGGGTGGCAGTCGGTCAAGTGCCTGATTCTTGGTTCCAGCTCAGGTGCTG